ACAGCCAGCACCAAAATATTTCATCTGTGTCGCACATGGACCAATGATATCCGCCACCGTGCCGCGAGGCACTGAGTCGAGTATCTTCAGGTCCCTGCGTTGGGTGTCCTCTGTGGTGGGCGTAGAAGACAGGTTTGAAAGCCCACGACCCCGGATATCTGGGCGCTCCCAGGCGCTCTCGGGCGCTCCTGGGCGCTCTCGCGGCTTGTCGCGTGGCTTCTCTGGAGGCTCCAGGAGCGCGGAGGGGACTGCACGCTTCCCGCGTGCCCTCCGGGGACCCCGCGGGACCGTCCTGGGCCTGGAGGCCCTCGGGTCTCGGGTCGGCCCAGGAGGCCCCACAGTCATTGAAAACCCCCGGGTGCCTGTTGTGATGCTCGATGACTCCCCCCGAGAGAGCCTCGGAGGCACCCGCCCCCACGAGAGGCCCGACAGGCCCCGAAGTGGCCCCCAAAGAGGGGCCCAAGAGGGGGGGGGGCCTCACACTGCCATGTCGAGCCCTGCAGTCAGCCAGATCGTCCCCGAGACAGCCAGCGGGCCCCGAGGAAGAGCACGAGACGCCCCCCAGGAAGCCCCCGAGAGGCCCCAGAGACGGCCTCCACGGGGCCTCTTCGCGACACCCCCGAGGAGACCCCCCGACGGGCCCCAAGACGTACACGCCAGGCCCTGTCCACAGCCCGGGCACGCTGGCGGGGTGCCGTCCCCGTGGCCTGCCGGAGGGCGTACCTTGGGAGTCCCGAAACGGTGCGGTGACAGAGCGGGCGGTGACCTCGAAATCCCCCCAGACCTCACCGCACGGTCCGTCACCGCAGGGTCTCGGGACCTCGGATGCCCCAAGCGCCCGAGACCTCCTCGGAGAACGACCCGAGTCCCAAAACCGTGCGGTGACCCCGAATCCTTACCGATTCACCGCACGATGTGGTCACCACCCCGTTTGGGGGCCCCCGAGTGCCAGACTCTGGCCCTTCCAACCGGACCCCAGTGGGCTCGGGCCGGCCACCTTCGTCTGCCCACGATTACTCCAAGAGTCAAGAGGGTCTGCAAGACAGAGAAGATGTGCCAAGATTGCTCCCAACCCAAGACGGTCCCAAGATACCCCCAGGAGAACCCAAGACGGCCCCAAGAGATCACAAGATGGCCTCAAGACGGCCCAAAATGGCCTCCAAAATAACCCCAAGACGGCCCAACAAGCCCCAAGACCACCCCAGGACGGGCCAGGACGACCCAAGAGGCCCCAAAGAGGGTCCCAAGACGGCCCAAACGACTCCTAAGACGGCTCCAAAGCGGCCCAGGAAGGCCCGAAGACGGCCCAAAGAGGCCCCCAAGACGGCCACCGAAGGTGTCAGACGTCCCCGGACAGCCCTATGACGGCCCAGAGAGGCACCCAAGAGGCACACCCCAGAGCCCGTCAGAGGCTCCCAAGTGGCCCCCAGAAAGCTCTCAGGAGGCCCCGAGAGGGTCCCAAGAGGCCCCCAAGGGGCCTCCTCCTCCTCCTCCTCCTCCTCCTCCTCTTCCTCCTCCTCCTCCTCCTCCTCCTCCTCCTCCTCCTCCTCCTCCTCCTCGTCGTTGTCCCCGTCCTCCTTCTCCATTCTCTTTCCTTTTCGAGTACCTCCCGCACCCGTCGCACCCCCAGACGTGTCCGCAGGACGGGCCTCACAATCGGCTGCCCTGAAATTGGAACAGCTTCATTGGCTGCGGGAATGGATGGCCCGTCACCTTCAAAGTGCGGCTCTCGCCGCAGCGCCGCGCACACCCGTGCCAAAAGATTACAACACCTGCCAGGAGAAGAGTCGGTCGCTTCAAAGTGCGGCTCTCGTCTGAGCGCCGGGAACTGTCGCCTTAAAGCTTACCTGTAGCTTGACGGCTGGAGGGCCTCGCCTCAGCGCTGCGCGCAAGGTTGTTGAAAAGCCTCCAACAGCGACAAGGATTGAGGCCGCTTCGATTTCAGAATGCGGCTCTCGCTGGAGACTTCTTCGAAACCATTGTTTTCCAGCGAGAAGAGAAGCGCGCGACCACTGAACCTCGCCATGGCGTGATTAGCACAGTAACGTGGAACTGACGATCGCCAATAAGCCAGGAACGCTTCACAAGCCGACCTATCACAGGCAAGCTCGTGTGATGACCTGCAAAATGTAAGAAGAGGAAGAAGAAGAAGAAGAAGAAGAGCTTACGATTTGAATTTGAAGAGCCAGAGAGGGAGGGAAAGGGGAACGGGACGAGGAGGACAAGCAGGAGGAAAGAGGGGAGGATCGGAGGAGAACACACACGCACGCACGCACGCACGCGCGCGCACTGGGAGAAGCGAGTCCAAAGCCTTGACGATGCGAGTCGAAGGCGTTCCTCGAGTTCTCTGAGTTCCAGTCTGTGCAATATCCAAATGCGCGGGCGGATGGCGGTTCCTGTCCACAAGGAGGCCTCTCGCCCGAGACTCCGTGGACCCAGACGGGGCCATCGCTGGACACCTCCTTCTGACCTGCATGAGTGTGCGGCTCTCTTCGCGAGAAAGGCGCGGAGGATGGATCCTTCACAGACGGGGTCTCGCCCGAGCAGCAGGCTCACCGGGCGCTCGTCACTCGAGGGGGGGGCGACTCTTTGTGGTGGAGAGGGATACGCGCACGGACCTGTAAGACATGCGCTTGGCACAGGAACGTGTCTTGCAGCATCGTTGGCGCAAACTGCATACTTCACTCTGAGCTTTACTCTGGTCCCTCTCCTCTTCCTCCTCCTCCTCCTCCTCCTCCTCCTCCTCCTCCTCCTCTTCCTCCTCCTCCTCCTCCCCCGTCTCATATACTACTCCTCCTCCTCCTCTTCCCCCTCCTCCTCGTCCTCCTCCACTGGCTCCTGCTTCTCCCATCCTCCACTGAGTATTCCCCTAACGTGCTGAAACACGTAGTCCAACAGCTTGGCCAGACGTCGGCCCAACGTTTGGCCACATAGGCGTTTCCAAAAGGCAGGGGGCGGCGGGGGTTCGCCATATGCGAATTCGATACCACTGAGATCAACATAACCACGAAGCTCGCAACGAAGTACACCACAATCCCCCCGCCGTACCATGGGTACGACGACAACGTGCCCGAATCTAACTGTGATTTGAACCACATGATTGCCTGCACGCTGATTAGAAATGCTGCCACAATGTGCGTCCATATGTTCCCAGATTCGTTATGGCATGTACAGAAATCTTGCCAACAAGGCCTTTCCAGACGATAGTATTTGCGAATGAACGGGCGTCGACGTGGCTCTGCTACCTCACCAGCATCACCAAGCCTTTGAGCACGCAAGTGCCTTCTTCTTAGATCGGGAAGACATAAGGCTCGAGCTTGGGGAACTGGAATTCTCCTGAAGGGGCCGTCAGAAAAACGGCGGGACCTAGACATTCGACGTGAATTCCCACTGCGAGCATCTCGTCAAAACTGGACATCCCAGACCCGCGCTGGGACAGTCGACGAGCGGCAGCAGACCCGAGACCCGGCAAACTCGAGTCTTACGCTTCCCCGATTGTGGGGCGAGGATGCAGCTCGTCTGGAGGTGGAGGGCACAACAGCGAAGCATCATATGAGGATCGGTGTGATTCCGTCGTTGCTGCACGGGCTGCTGCCGGTGACGGCGCGGACCTGGCAGCGACGGTGCCTGCTCCAGCGCTGCGCCTCCGGAACAGCGCGGACATGAATGCAGTCGAGCCTTGAGCTACAGAAAGTCCACGGATGATAACGATGACGATGGTGGGAGCACCTCGACGGGACGCCAGTGGCAAGGAGATCGGGCAAAGGATGCAGCCCTAGAGGCCTTCCAGATGGGGTCCGAGCAAATGGGATCGGAGGATCGCGCCGCATCGGCGATGCACCGCCGATGCATCGGCGTTGCGTCGGCGACGTCGGCGTGGAGAAAATCGGGCTCGACATCGAGCCGCATCGGCGATGTCTCGGCGATGCGGCGCGATCCTCCGGCCCCATCTGCTCGGACCCCATCTGGGAGGCCTCGTGCCCCAGGGCGCGGCAGCGACGCTCCCCCCCCCCCCGCCCACCCCGAGTCAGCATGGGCGCGCCGATTCGCGAACGCAGGGCAGGCTCACGTCGTGGGGGCTCGCGTGTGCTGGCGTGCGGCACAGCGCGGATGGCTGGGCCTGGAACGGTCGCCGCGCTCCGATGGCGCCAATCCTGGACCACTGGATCCTGGAGCTCTCCTGCCGCAACCAGCGAGAAGTGTCGCTACCGATGTGGCTTCAAATCCTGGCATCGGCCGCAATCCAGTTGGACGGCCGATCGGTCGCGACCGATCGCGGCCGACAAAATCGACTAACTGCAATGACCTCGGATCCTCCGGAATCGGCCGACTCCGGGCCGCTGGCCGCGTTCCGCCTCGAACGCCCGCGCTTGGGTCGCCGGAGCGTCGACACCACCCGAAGCTGCCGTTCTCCCCAACGGCACTGGCGACGGGAAGCCTTCTGGACCCCCCCCCCCCAAAAAAAACAAGTACAGAAGCCTAGAATTAGGTCGGGCGTGTCCCCCTACAGGGGGATTTTGGACTAGAAATAAAAAAATAGCCCAAAAATGCCCAAAAATGATCAAACAATACTTCAAATCCTCCCCAGACTATTTTGTTACTCTATTTTTGAACCTTCCTCCTGTAGAGGGACAGGCCCGAATTAAGCCTAGATCGCAGGTTCTTGAGCCGCCCTCTCGACAGCGCTCCTGCCTGTGAAGTCCCGAGAACCCTCTGAAGGTCCCTGGAGGCCTCCGGGGGCCTCGAGAAGACTCTGAAAGAATCCGCGGGGGCCGACGACGCCCGAAAACAGCCATCCTCGAGCCGCAGCTTCAAAACTCGAACAGCCCCCGCGGTGTGCGGATCGGCGCCACTCGGAGGAGACGGAGGAGGAGGAGGAGGAGGAGGACGACGACGACAACGACGACAACGGCGGCGGCGGCGGCGACCACGTGCGACACAGCGCGACGGCGCCGACGCGGGGGGGGGAGCCGCGGAAGCTGCCCAGCGGCGCAGCTGGCCTGGCCGCGGAAGCTGCTCATCGAGCTGGGGCCGCGGAAGCTGCCGCCAGCGAAACCAAACTTGGCCTCGGGGCCGCTGGGGCGCGGGGGGGGGAGGTGCGGGAAACATTGACCTGGAGAGCCCTCGTCGCCGCGGCTGGATTATCCTGGAAAGTCTGGTCAGAATGCAGCCCAGGAGAGGTCTGGGGACTCGGAGGCGACAGGGGGGTCTGAACTGGTTGGTACCCTAGAAGATCGGTCAGGAGGGGGGATGAAGCCAAATAATTTCAAAGTCGGTCCCTGGACCCGGGGTCCATCTGGGGGTCCATCTGGTGCAGTCTCTCACCCTGGATCTGTGTCTCACGGTCCCGGAAGAAAACGGCCCCCAGCCGCCGAACCAGGCAAAAACATGCTCGAGCCCAGAACCTCGAGCCTGCCCGACATCCCTGTTGACCAGAGCCAGTGCTGGGCCACCTCAGACCCCCAGAGGGCTCCAACCTCGACCTCCGCTCTCCGCACCTCCCGCGCGGCCGCGCAGTGGCGGCGGCCGCCGAGACCGCAACGAAGGCCTCGGCGGCCGCCGAGGCCGAGACCGCGGCGGCACACGCAGCGCGGAAGGCTCGGATGCTGGAGGTCTGGGGGGAGGCTGGCCTCCAGGATACCAAGGGCATCCGAAGGATTGGCTTTGCCATCAGGGCGTGTTTTGTCGAGATTGTCCCGGGTGGGTCGGGGCCCCGGGCAACAGTGACGGCTGTGCAAGGCGGGGTTCGGGGATCTACTGACCAGGGGAAATCCAGACCCGGATGGGTCAGGCGTTTCAGGATCCTGCAGGATCCTGCAGGAGCCCGCACCCTAACCCGGGTCAGTGCGCCCCTGACTCTGCAGGATCCTGCAGGATCCTGCCAGACCTGGCGCTCTGACTGACCCCCGTTTGCATTGACCCCCGTCTCTTGAGCCCCGAGGGGTGGGGAGCCTGCGAGCACCGGCAGGCCCCTTTTCAAAACGTACGATCGTTACCCTTACCCAGGGGGGGGCACCAGGAAACGACCGTTGCGCGCCAGAGGACAAAACAAAAAGCCTCGCCTCATCGCCACACCGGGGAAGCGAGGGCCGTCTGCGGGCCCAGGGGCCAGCAAAGATGGATCTGGGACGGAAGACTGCCCGCAAAGAAGGGGCCGAGGCTTCTGGGGTCCGCGGATTTGGAGAATCGCATCGCCGGGTGTCTGGCTGTGGGGGGAGGCCTCCAGGGCAAGAGGGTCGAGGAAGAGGCTCGAGGAGGACCTGTGATTCGGGATGCGGCCGTGGCCTGGGCCGCGCAGCCGCGTGAAGGGGGCCAGAAAGCAGGAACGGCCCCGCGCGATCGAGGACCGAGGAGGACCGAGATGGGGCGGGACCGATCGCGGACCGAGGGCTCCGTGGACGCGCCTCTGGCGCTCTTGCCGCGGGGGGTCCCCGGCAGTGCGGCGGCGGACCGTGCCGTGGCCTCGGAAAGAGACCCCCCCGAGGGCCTCAAGACCGCACGGCCCGCCGCCGCAGGAGCTCGGGAGGAGCCTCGGGAGGCCCCGGCCGTCCGCGAGGCGGGCCTCGGAGAGCGGGCGCGGCTCCGTGCCCTGCGGCGCCGCACGCTGCGGCAGACCGGAGGTCGCGCGTCGGCCCGCCGAGCGCGCAGCGCTGGAGAGGCCTTCGCAGGCGGGCAGCACTGCTGTCCAGACCCACTGCAGCATGGAGCGCCGGGCTCCCCTCCCCCCAGATAGCCCGAGGCGCGCTGGACATGGATAAATGTGCCACCCAGCGGCAGGGTGTTTTTATCCATGTCCAGTGCGCCTCGGCCCTGTGGCGCCCCTTCCAGGAGAATCCCAGGCGCACTGGATATGGATACAAATCTTGCCCGCGTTCGCACCCGTGCGGGCGACCCGGGAGCCCGCCCTGCAGAGCTCGCAGCTTCCGCAAGCACGGGCGAGGGAATGTGGCACGATCCACGACCCGACCGGGCACATCCGACCGCACTTCTCTCTGCCCACCTCTCCCCACCCACCTCATGCGCCTCATCGTCCTCCTCTGTTCTGCCATCGACGGCACTGTCTCGGAGATCACCAATGCAGACCTGGAGCGAGACACCTCCACGAAGCGGAAAACGATGGAAACAAGAACAAAGCATACATCAGAGGAATGAGCTCTCCGCGTCCACCGAGCAAGCCATCTAGGTGAATCCTCCTCCTCATCCTCCTCCTCCTCCTTCTCTCCCTCCTCCCCATCTGTCCTCGTCCTCCTGCCTCATCATCCGCCTGGCCCCCCCCCTTATCCTACTCCTCCTTCTCCTTTACTCCTCCGTCCTCCATCACTCTTGCTTGTAAGCAACTCTCCCTGTCACACCAAAAGACATGTCGCTTGGGCGGGCTGAGCGTTTCGCCTCGGACGTCCTGACTGACTACGATATGGAAGCCTGAGACTTCCAACAGTTACAGATTTGGACCACATCGTTTTCATGGTGGAGCACTCGCCTTGGCGCCGCGCAAACTCATCTCAAAGATCAACAGTTACACGGATGACGGGCTGGCTTTTTTCGGTATGGGGCTTGCGGGGTCTCGCCTGAAACATGTCCACCGACCTTCACAAGGTACACGGTTGGAGGGCAAATGGTTGCGCCACGCACACTCATCTTAAGATCCACAGATACACGGATGACGAGCTGGCTGTTTTCGAACTGGGGCTTGCGGGATCTCGCTTTGAGCATGTCCACCGACCTTCACAAGTTACACGTATGGAGGGCAAATCGTTGCACTGCACATAAAGTGGAGGCCCGACCACGAGAAACCGTCCGAAAGAAACCCAATCCCGAGACCCCAGGAAGTCCATTGATCCTTGATGTGGGCACGGCACGCCTTCCACAGCGGAACCATCGAAACCCAAGAAGCCCAGGGCACCCTTGTGAGCGTTTTCTTGTTCGGCGTTTCCACTTTGGGCGGAACGGGGGAGGGGGTCTGGCTCCGGACCTCTGCTTAGTGCGACTGTTTGCAAGAGTGCTGCCTCTGGGGGGAGACTCCACCCGCTCGACACAGGTGCCAAAAAACAGCCAAGATCTACTCCCCAGGGGGAGGGAGGGGGGGGTTGGGGGCCCGCGCCGATCGGCAAAACAATGAATAAAGAAACGAACTCCTGAAGGCAAGCAGGGTGTTTCTTGGCATAGGCCTCCACTGCACTCGTCTGCAACTACCCCAACAGCATCACGGAAGGAGGGCAATTGGCTGCGCCGCGCACACTCGTCTTCAGCTACAGTCATCGGCCTGACCTCAGGAATGATTGACAAGGAACGGAGCCCCCTTTTTCAAAGGACTAACGCACAACGAACGAGATTGAAGTAAAAAATAACGCGCAGGGAACGATAAATAATGCGTGCAAACCTAAGTAAGGAACGACCGAGCCCCTTTCGAAAAGTAAGCGTTCCTTATTCAGGCGTTGGCAGAACTGGGTTTAGTGGGACCTGGTTTAGTGATGTGTACTGGGGGACGCCCCCCCCCGCCCCGTTCCACTATAAACGGAACTGCCGCCACCCGAAAAGACACCAGCTACGGCAGACCTGGTTGAGTGACTCTGGTCAATCGAGGGGCTCCGGGGCCCTACCACTCACTGGGTCCCCGTACCCGGGGGTCCTGGCCATACCCGACTTGGTCCAGCCGCCTGCTGCACTCCAGCAGCATATCACGGGAACAGGGCACGGCGCCTCCTGCAGAGCTGGAGGCCGTCGCTGGGGCACCTCCTTAAAGCTACTTCCTGGGCCCAGCCCGACGCGTGCCTCGAGAGCTCGGTGGGGTGAAGAGCTGCCTGCGTCCAAACTTAGGTCGGGCGTGTCCTCCTACAGGCGGATGTTGGAGGAAAAGTTCAGAAAAGTCTATACAAAATTCAAAAAATGCCCCAAAATACTCAAAACAAAAATAGTCCCCAGGCTATTTTTTACCATTTTTGAATATTCCCCCTGTAGAGGGACAGGCCCGACGCAAGTCCAAACGGACCTCCGCCTGAACTGCGTG